CAAACTATATTAGGTGACAATGCTTCTAAAAATTTTAACTTCACTATTGTACATTGTTTTTCTTTGCACAGAGGTCTGTTGCATCTTCGACAAGCAGAAGAACTGCAATACGTTTTGCAGACCTTAAACACAGAAGATACTGGTTCCCACTGATGGTAGTGTAGTTGCTAAAATTATAATTTGACATGTTCTTCCAGTCATTGAAATTTGAAACTTGTTTCCTCTGCAGGTTGGAATCGGATTACTTTGTCTGCAGCAATTAAGTGGAACCAATGGTGTTCTATTCTACTCTAGCAATATTTTTCAAGCAGCCGGTGCGTTGAAAGACTTCTCATATAGATTTGTCTGTTTCATGCCCAAAATGTTAACGAGTTCTAATAAGTTTTTTTTGGGGAATAAACAGGCATTTCTTCAAGCAATGCTGCTACATTTGGTCTTGGTGCTATCCAGGTTAGAGAGATTAAGTTTTAAGATTCGTTTGTTTCCCAGAAAATAAGATTTTTTGCGCCATTTACCCCCGAACTCTTCAAAAATTGGGGTTTTCCCTGAACTTTAAAAATTGCACCAATGTGCGGGTTTTCCTCTGTGCCATTTTTAAAGTTTAGGATTCCCAGAAAATAATGTTTCTGGTTTGTTTCATTTTTTTGTGCATAGTTGGTGGACTATTGAAGGACAATTTATACTTTATAGGTCATTGCAACTGCAGTTTCTGTATGGTTGGCGGACAAATCAGGGCGTAGGCTTTTACTTATTGTAAGTTACAGTAAAAACATCAGTTACTTGGCTTCTAGTAATATTTTCCTGCAATGTAAAAGAAGTGTCCCTTTGAAGGTTTCATCTACCGGAATGGCTATCAGTCTCCTCCTCATCTCCGTTTCCTTCTTTGTGAAGGTAACTCATGATTTCAGCTGGTTTCTGCCTAAACTAATTGCAGGCTAACTATTTTTCACACATTTTGTTCATTCAAAAATCCCCAGTTTAACCTCTACCTCACACTTGGTGATCATTATTAGGGATTCATATCAGAAGACTCGTCTCTCTATGGCATTTTGGGAATAGTTTCCGTTGTTGGAGTTATGGTATGTTCTTGAACTGATACATAAGTCCATGATGATGACTTTGAACCTTGCTTCTAAACTTCGCCGTAACCATTTCCTTATTTTTCAGAGCATGATTGTTTTCTTTTCACTTGGAATGGGGCCCGTACCATGGCTTATCATGTCCGAGGTACAGCTTTTTGACTGTTTACATTGGCGTGGTACATCTGAATTAGGAAAACATAAGAACCGTTTATGGTTCGTTTGACAACGTTTTATATTTGCAATTTTTGTTTTCGGGAAAACTAAATACGGAGTATGATGCAAAGTCCTTTTGCTGATAGTCCCCTTTTCTTAAACTGTCCCAATGTAGATTCTTCCCATCAAAATCAAAGGCCTTGCTGGAAGTGTGGCTACCTTAGCCAATTGGCTCTTCAGTTGGGTCATTACCATCACTGCACCTATGCTTTTGGATTGGAGCAGTGGAGGTTCTCTCTCTCTCTCTCTCTCACACACACACACACTTATACACACACACTGATGCATAGTGACTCTAAATGCTGTTTTTAAACACAAACGAAGTTATTCATAGATTCGAAGTTACTTACAAAACTAGGTACAAATCTGTTAAAAATCATAAAGGATGAAACTGTTAAAATCATGGGATCTTTGGAGAGCCGGTTTGAGAGGCTCTTTCGGGACGATTGTTGGCTCAATAAAACTTTAAAAACACGTTAGAATAATCGAATACGGAGCATTAAAAGATGAACACTAAGGATTAAACAACTTCGGGATAAACAAAAGAACAAAGAGAGATTTATCTTCACATTTACATATACTTCGACATGATGCAAGTTGGTTGAGGTTCTTCTTTTCTTTTACAGGGACATTCATGTTATACACGGTTATGAGCGTGTTCACCATAATATTTGTATCTATTTGGGTCCCTGAGACGAAGGGTAAAACTCTCGAAGAAATTCAACATGGATTCAGATAGATGGTTAGTTCCCCCAATTCTTTTTCCGTCGTGTGCGATTTTACCTTTTCATTTTGTTTTTGTAATTTATGTTTCTTTGGAGGGAGGGGTGAGGTCGGTATACATGTATGTATAGACACATTGTTGTAGAATGACGTCGAGTTCCTTGAGCTTTTTCCATTATTTTATGGTTTGTTCTCGCGAGAATGGACCATTATTTCCACCATTCCTTAAATAAATGTTGTTACGCGAGAAAAAAACATTGTTATTCCATATTCTTTTGAAGGACATTGTTATACCATATAGTATCATGGGGGGTGGGGGGTGTGGGAACCATTAATTTGCGAACAGAGCACCGTAGTTGCTTCAAAAATGCAGCGGCAACACCAGTGGCTACGGAACCGTGGTGTAGTATCATACTCCGTTTATCCTAGTATATTTATTGATTTTTTTGAGTCAAACTTGATAAAGTTTCTCGATAATTATTGTTTATTTGTGTATTTTCATCGAATATTTAATAGAAAAAATATTCTCTTCACAACTAACTTTTTAAAATTTTTTATATACTTAATTTTTTAAGTATTCCGACAAGACAAAATATGCAAGACAAAAAAATGACAACTGCCTAGAAAGGTTGAACACTCCCTCCCCAACAAACACTACAGTCCACATCACGTTGGTATCATGAAACAGTAAAATCTCTGTAGGCACTATGCTCCAAAGAGTGGCTATTATTTGTGTCCATTGGATTTTTCTAAGAGCACTCGAAATGGTCGTAAAACCCGAACCTTTATTTTTTACATTTTTGAATACACATCTTTTAAAATTAAACTAATAAGATTTCATTATTTGATAGAATTTAAAAGGCAATAAATCGTTAAATAAAAAAATACTTTAAAAAATTACATTTGATGGTGTAAATTACTTGACCGGTCAAACTATACTAGACCGGGTCTAGAATAGTTTGCTTGATTTGGCAAAGTAAGAAAGTTAAAAATACGAAGATTGACCGGTAGGACTTTAGGTGGAACACCTGTAGCCCAATTTATATTATAACGGAGATTGCACGGGTGCTTTTACAAGGGAGTAGAGAGAATGAATTCGGATCTCCTTCCTTGAGAGTTACAAGAGGTATATATACTAAACTCGGGACAGGACCACGTGCGCCCACGTGGGGGCATGCTGGTGATGTGGTGCGAGATGACTGTCTCTGAGCCACCTTGTCATCTTGCGAGGGGGATTACCCCCTTGTCGCGTTCTGGCTTGGAAATATTCCTCCAGCATCTCCACTGGTTCCCTAGCAATGCCAACCACTACAGTCCAAATTATTTTGGATCTTTCCTGCCGACACTCATCGATCTTGAAAAACTGCCCCGGCTAGTCATCGCAGGTTGATTAATTGACTTCAGAAATTGGTCCGAGATGATGGAGTAATTTGACCGGTATACTATCTGAAGTATACCGGTCAACTTTGCGTTCGATCCGTTGTCTCTCCGCCGATGATACAGATCTTTCTCTTAAGTTTGACCCCTTTGACCGGTCAACTATCTGGTTCTGACCTTTGACCGGTCATGGGTGAAATACACCCATCAATAAGCTCTCCACTTCTCGGTTATGCAATTGTGTCATAAGCGGGAAGTAAAAATCTGAAACAGGACTTTAAAATTTTGAAATTTCGGCCTTTCCCACTCAAAACATTTGAATTCAAAATTCAAAAAGTATACGTTCTGACACGTGTGGCCTGCTGGACGGCGTCAGACCCGCGTCCTTTCGTCTTCCTAGACGTAATGATGGCGCCGCCTAACGCGGCGCGCCCTGGTGAAGCCACGTCGCCTTCTTCTCCTTCCTCCTCGCCTATATAAAGGCTTCCAACCCCATTGCCTTCCTCACTTCTTCCTCGCGCGTCTCCTGAGTTTCACCGGTCAATCTCCTCTCTCCTGCCTTCCAGCCCTCCGAGCCAAGTAAGCTCTCTTATCTTTTCCTCACCTTTCCTTTTGTTCTCCATTCTTCCTTCTGGTAAATGTCTTCCTCCGACAGTCAGGATATTTCCGCCTCGGATGCCTACGCATTCGAGGAATCCCCATCTTCTTCCTCCTCCACCGGGTCATCTTCACCCGATTTTGTACACCGGTCGGTTCCCAACACCATCGCCCCTGAACCGCAACCGGTTAACCAAATGCCCGGTCAGGTTTTTCAAGAGAGGGATGAACCGGTTGACGATGAGCCGGCCCCCTATGACCCTGATAACGAGTCATATGAGGGATGGGTGAACCTGCTGGAAGCGGCCGGTTACCTTCCTCTCCCCACTAGCTACCTTCTTGACATCTATCCCCGGGTCTCTAAGATTGCTCAAAATAAAGCCCGTAGGAATCTCCGGGAGGGGTATGTCCTTGAGTACAACCCTAGTTGGCCCAACATTATCGAGCCTCACCAGGATGATAGGGTAGGTTTCCATATCATTTCTTTAGAGAGGCACCATCTTCCCCCTGCGTCCCCTTTTGGTTGAGTTATGCCACTGCTTTAAGATTCTTCCCGGGCAAATTACGCCCAATGCTCATCGCTTCCTTATCGCCTTTGCGAACATCTGCGTTGAGCTTAAGATCGAACCCTCCCTCCGTCTGTTTCTCTTTTTATTTGAAGTCCTTCCCGGCAAATCGGGTTGTGACGGTTACGTCTACTTCAAAGGCCGTAACGGTCATCAATTTATCTCTGACCTTCCACAAAGCAACCGGCAGAGGAAGGAAAAATTCGTTTTTATAAAATTCCCCACCATTTCTCCTTTGGCCGGCATAAAGTGGAACGATCACCTCCTGAAACCGCAATATACTGAGCCGGCTAGCGCTCCAGACTTGGAAGAAAGTTTGGAGAAACTTTTACAAGGGGACCCGTTCACCGGGCAAATGTTCCATTACGGGGCTTGGATTTGGAGGATCTCACTGGGTGGCACGGGTACCCCCAGGGCTGATGAAGCAGCGGGGCACGGGGTACCCGCCCCGGGCAACACTGCGGAAGCTGGGGGTTCCAGTCACCCAGGTATCATCCCTTCCTCTTCCTCCTTTTTCCTTTTTATATACCGACCCATGCTTGAGTACTTATATTTTAGCTTGTTTTGCAGAGATGAACATCAGAGCATTCAACATCCCCACGAAGAAGACCGGCGGCTCCTCCTCTGCTGCCCCAAGAACTGTACCGGTGCAACAAGAACCGGTGGAGATCCATTCTAACGAGGGGTCTCCTCTGACCGGAAAGACCGGTCAGACCGGGAGGACCACGGCAAACCCTCCCCTGGACAAGGGGAAGGGAACAGTTCGGACCAAGCATGCCGCCACTACCCATCCGTCAGCAGAGAGGAGAAGGGGAGAAAACGCCCCGGCTTTAGAGTCATTAGAGGAGCTTTGGGTCAAGATGGGGCGAAAGCTGAAAGAGGTAACATTCACCAGGTATATTTTCTTGAATTTGCTACTTGTCTGTCGCAGTAACCGGTACGTTTCATTTTGCAGATGGGTGAGGTTGGGCCTGAAACCTTGGAGAGACTTGACGAGGACTCCCCTTCCTGGTCACTTCAGCTGGAGGAAAGACTGAAGAGGCTTGAAGCTCAAAACTGGGAGCTTCAAGACTTGACAACCCGGCAACTTGACGAGATGGCCAACCTTTCGGCAGTTGCCGGTAGGGCGAACGCTGAGGTCCTCCAGCTGAAAGAGGAGAACATGTTGCTGATGGGGGAGGTCTCCCACCTAAAACAGGAGGCATGGGTGAAGGAGCAAGAGTTGCCCGGTCGGGCCAGACAGTAGATGGAGGAGAACCTGGCAGAGGCCGCCCGGGTGCTTACTTCCTCTAAGGAGAGGACGATGGAAGGCTTCAAGCTTCTGTATCGGGAGGACCATGGGAAGGAGATGATCACCCAAATCGGCTCCTATGGTTTCATGTCGGGCCAAAAAAGAGACCGGGAGGCCACCCATGCGATCCTCGCTGACCGGGACCCGAACTTCGACGCTAATTCATATGGCCTGGCCCCCATCCCGGATGAAGAACCTGCACCTCCTTTTCCTCTCGAGTAATCTTCCCGGCTGCGACCGGATGAATTGTTCTGTAAAACTTCACACTCATTTCCCCGGGAATGCCCGGTGTAGCTGTAAAACACTTGACTTTTTTTTGTTCTCCTTTAGTGCAATGCTTCATTTCCATGCCGGTTAGTCTTCCATATATGTTTGCTTTTTGATTGATATTTCGTTATTGTTCCTTAGAATACCATCATAGAAATTCTGACCGGTACATAAATCAGGCCACTTCTCAATTATTTTCGATCGGTAGAACTTCAAAGTTCTCTTTGATCACGTTATCTGAAGGATCAGCTCGAGTAACTTTGACCAGTCAAACCTTGATTTTCGCTTTTCGAACGTCTTCATCATTTTGGCCAACTTAAAAAGTTTGTCCGGCCAAGCTTTACTTTGGCCTTTTGGATAGCTTCACAAATTCTTTGATAAAGTACAATTTGACCGGTGGGTTCCACTCCCTGGTCTGACCGGTCATCTGCCTTGCCTCGTGGAACTTTCGAAGTTCAGTTGTGCCCATACCCGACCGGGGTATTCTTTTTTTTCTTTTTTTTTTGACCGGTAGGTTGTAGATGGAAACACCTGTAACCTAGTAATTTCTTGGAGTATCATTAACTGGTAAGAATACTGGAGAATTAACCATGTCGAATGGTTTCGAACCTTCTCCAAGGTTCAAATGCACCCTTCTTCTAGGGCCCCCTCTTCCGGGTGATTAAGTCTTTTAATGGTCCTTTGATGGTGTAAAATATTTGACCGGTCAAACTATAAAGAAACAACGAAAAATTAGTTGAGTTAACATTCATTGCCACCATTGATAACAGACCGTCGCGAAATAATGAAAAATGAGAAATCTCTTTCATCGTCAGATGATGGCCCCATTTTTTTTGAAAATTTTGTAGAGATAGTTAAAAGAAATAGAACATATTTTAGAAGAATTATGGAGAGAATGAAAATAGATGGCGAGTGTTTGTTGTGTTAAAAATACGGAGTAATTATAGTATTAAAAATAAATTTTTTAAATTAATGTCCAACGGTCCAAATTATGGTCGTTAGGGGAAGGAGAGGCACATCGTCAAACCTTTAACGCGGGCCTTTTGACGCCCTAATGTTGGTAGAGGGGGGCGGTATTTAACGCTTCCCGTGCGTTAAAGAGACCATCACTATGGGGATGATACTAAGCAAAAGGGCGATGATACTAAGCAAGAAGCTGTACCTTGGGCTATTGATATGAAACATATGATCAGCCATTGCACCTTATTCAACAAGAACAATCAATATGTTTTTTTTTCAAAGTCAATTATGGAGTACTCCCTCCCTCCTAATTTACTCCCTACCTAGTTTTGGTCAACTTTTTCTGGGTCTCAAGTTATTTTATCCGTTTAACTTTTTCAGACAAACTTTATAAAAATTGACCCAATTTTTGGAAGTAAAGTACATTTGATGATATTCTTAATTTGATATCAATATACGTACGGAGTATTAATTTCCAAACAAAATTTTAAAATATAATATTTGTATCATATTTATTTATGTACACATATACAAAGAAGTTATTAATGATTAAAGTGACGCCATGAAAAATCAATAGGCATTAGGCAATGTAATTTGGGACAGGACTGTTGCCTTTCTTTACTTGATTCATCATGCTTATTCTCCATTTACTAAAACCATTCATCCAAATCAAATTTTGTAAGGGTCCATTTGGCATACGTAATTGATGAAATTGGAATTGAAATTTTATAAGATTCAATTCAATAAAATTGAATTCACCAGTTCCGGTTCATTTTTTGCATTGTCAATTCCAAATCAACATAATTTTGATGCTACCAAACACCAGAATTGGAATTGAAGTCATCAATTCCAATTCCATAATTTGAATTCCGTGTACCAAACGGGGCGTCGGGGCCTAATGGTTTTACTCAATGAAATTTCTTTCAATAAGGCATGGGGTACCAAAACTAGAAGAATGTTTCCTTGGGAACAAAGACAGCCTACAAAAGGATCAGGCTGCACTAGTGAATTACAAAACTAAGAGCATTCAGATAAAAATGGTGGAAACTGAAGAAAAAAACCCCATAAATTCTACAATGGACCAGGATAGGAAAAGAGAATTAGCAAAATACAAACCCTATGAAAAAAGAAATAAGGGCCTGCACAGCAAACAACAGATGAGAAAAACACACTGCTTACGAGTTACCATAACATTATGAATTGTGCTATAACACAAATTTTACAGGATACCTGTCAATACAATCCTCCCACGGGCTCTTAGGGGATGGCTTCACGTTGCGCAGCGCCTGCCAAACAGCACTGTTACACTTGAAGCCACTTCCGAATGCAATCTGCCACACTCTGTGTCCTTTCCTCATCCTCCCCTTGGCCTCGGTATAAGCCAGCTCGTACCAAATAGAGCTGGAAGAAGTATTGCCGAATCGGTGTAGTGTCATTCGGGATGCCTCCACGTGTTCTGGAAGGAGCTGGAGATTCTTTTCCAGCTCATCGATCACTGCCCTCCCCCCAGCATGTATGCAGAAGTGATCGAATGCCAGCTTGAAATCTGGAATGTAAGGCATGATGTTCTCATTGTACAGCTTCTTGATCACCAATGTTGAAAAGAAGAGAAGCTGTTCGCTGATTGGCAATACGATAGGACCCAGAGTGGTGATATTGGTTTTGAGAGCACCACCTGCAATTGCCATTAGCTCTTTTGACAAGGAAACTCCCGTCTTGCCATTTTCATCCTGCTCCTGATAAACACACCGGAAGGCCTTATCGTCAGCCCCTCGGTGGGTCCTCACAACATGAACAAGCTTATACTTTGCTCTTCTCCTGTCGACCGACTTGTTAGACAGAAGAGCAGCAGAACCCCCAACTCTAAACAAACAGTTAGGTATCAGCATAGACTTCTTATTCCCAAAATACCAATTCTGAGTAATGTTCTCTGTACTGACGACAACGGCGCAGGTATTCCTGTGCACTTGCAACAAGTCCTTGGCGAGATCAATGGCAATCACGCCCGCGCTACAACCCATACCCCCCAAATTAAAACTCCTAATGTTCCCTCTTAACTTGTATTTGTTCACTATCATTGCTGAAAGGGAAGGAGTTGGATTGAACAGGCTACAATTCACAATAAGAATGCCTATCTCTTTCGGTTTCAAAAAGGTATTGGCCAATAAATTATCCAGTGCCCCGAACATGACCTGCTCCGCCTCTTCCCTGGCGGCTTGCATAGATGGCTGGGGAGGGACACAGTGCATAGCCTCGGGGAAATAAGTCTCGTCCCCGAGGCCGGACCGCTCCAGGATCTTACGCTGGAACTCGAGGCTACATTCCTCGAAGTCTCCGGTGAGCTTGGAGTGATCCATAAAGCGCTGATGCGGAGCTTTGAGGGCATCGGGAGGCTTATAACAGGAGTAATCGACCAAATACACCGGCCGCGGCCTGGTCATGATGTAAACAGTGGATCCGAAGACCAGCACGGCGGAGCAGATAATCACAGAAACGAGATTGTACTGCAGATGAAGCCAGAGGTGACGGATGTCATCCGGATTCGACTGCGAGGCCTCGATCACAATCACGACCATCACAGGAACAAGACACAGAGCAAAGAGATTAGAAATCAAGTAATGGTAACCTAGTTTCACGTACTTCAAGTTCACGCTCTGGAGAAAATCCGGCAGCCTCCGGCTCTGACGGCTCTGCACTTCCGCGCCGCCGTCCATGGCGGATCCAGGACCTCAAACACCGTGGATCAGGCCGGTGAAATGCGGAGCGCGGCGGTGTCCGAATAGTCCGTACCACGAAATGCGCTGCGGACAGTTAGGCAAAGCACTAAAGCGAGCTGCGTGTCAGCGGCATGAGCCAAAGAGCTTCTGAATGAAAAAAGGCTCCCAAAGTCAGATTTTGCTGATGGATTTTTCTTTGATGGCTTTTGGTACTTCTAATCCACCTAATACTTGGTCCTACACAAGCTTAATTAGGCCATTTTAGGAAATACGGAATATCAAAATAAAAGTTTCATATTTTCATTATTAAAATAGAATTTAAAATAAATTTACATTATCAATCATGACCATTTAAATTACCAAAATTTATAATCAAATATACATGTATAATGTCACATTACCACAATGCAAACTTCTATTAGAAAATAAAAATATAGAACTTCAATTTTGGCATTTTCTATATGTTTTACTCTTCTTTAGAATAATTTCTTTAATTCAAATAAATATTTTATTTAATTAACAAAAAACATGAAATTAAAACAAAAAAATGAAATTTGAAAAGGTAGAAAAAAGACTAAAGAAAGAAAACTAAGAAAGAAAGGATGGAAACAAAAAAGAAAGAAAGAGCACTTTCAAAATAAAAAAAGAGAGAAAGAACACTAACACTGATGGGTGTATTCCACCCACGACCGGTCAAATGAGGAGACCAATTAATTGACCGGTCAATCTCGAAAGTTTTGGAAGGAAGACTTAAATCGTCAGCAAATCGATATGTAATCGGCCAAAAGATGACCGGTATACTTCACGAAAAGAGTATACCGGTCAAACTACTTTGTCACCCTATTTTTCCCTAACTTCGATGATCTCATCCCACGGAGATTACCCGGTGTAGTTTCTAGGGTTGGAAAGTGTCGGCAGAAGAGAATCTAAGAGGGCTTGGCGTGTAGCGACCCATGTCAGTAGAGGACAACTGGAGATGCTGAAGAATCCATCCAAGGCACTACTCGACAAAGGGAATGATCCCCCTCACAAGGCGACAAGGCAGCTCGCGAACGAAACCAGTCACCTCGCACCACATCAGCAGCATGCCCCCACGTGGGTGCACGTGGTCTTGTCCCTCATAGCCTAGTATAAATACTCATGTAAACCTCAGAAAGAGGGATCCGAATTCATTCTCTTTAAACTCCCTTGTAAAAGTACCCGTGCATTCTCCGTTATAATATAGATTGGGTTACAGGTGTTCCACCTAAAGTCCTACCGGTCAATCTGCGTGTTTCTACCTTTCTTACTTTGCCAAATCAAGCAAACTATTCTAGACCCGGTCTAGTATAGTTTGACCAGTCAAGTAATTTACACCATCAAACACTATGCTTTGCTTGGTTCAAGGAATTTGTGAGGGAAAGGAAAACAAAATGAGAAGCAAAATATTTTTGCTTATTTGGTTAGAGAGGAAAAGAAAAAAATGAAAGAAAAAAAGAAGATAAAATGTACTAATAAGAGGAAAGACGATTTTTTTTATTTTAGTGAGGAAAATGAAGAAAAACTATTTTCTTTTCCTTTTCTTCCAAATTATGTGAACCAAACATAGTGTAAAAAAAGAAAAAAAGCAAGCCCGCATGCGCAGCTCAGTTGGTCGAGAACGTGAAATCTTGGACCAATGACCAGGGATCGAGTCCCGCAAGCGGCAGTGTGAGAGCTATCCAAAAATCCCATAAAGGGTGAGGAGGCTCCGTATGCGCGGCAGACACAGGTCTAGGGTTCTTGACCGATTGAATCACCATGATTTACCGCCTCCACCATACCTGTCTGGCCAGGGGGTGGGGGCGCCTGAGATGGGCAATTCTACCTTTTGAACCGAAAAAAGAAAAAAAAGCAGTTGGCCGCCACAAACGGAAAGAAGAAAAAAATAAAGATTCGTGATAGAAGTGACGACGGTCACATCAATCATGATCATGGATCAAGGGGGTGGTGTTCCCGCCATCACGCGGCTTGCTTGGCATCCCCGCGTGAGCCATCACAGCCCATCCTCTCCTTCCACCCCACAAATACTTACTACCTTCCTCTAAAAAATAATAAAAAATAATGGTATACTCCCCCTCTATTCCAATTTAGATTACAAATTGAAATTTATGAATTGAAATCATCTTTTGAAATTATTTTATTTACAAATTAGTATATCAATAAAAAATAAAAATAGTATATTAAAATTGTCTAAAATTCTATAAAAGAAAAGGAAAAAAATATTTTATTTTATCAAATACTCCGTAATTAATGAAAACAAATAAATAAACAAAAGTTATTGAGAGGTGAGAAAAATGGGACGGAAGGAGCAATTCACTTCAGAAATCATGAGAAATTTTATTTATTTTTACGTTTTCATCAATTATTTGATAAAATAAAATATTTTTTAGCACATCTTTTTTTGAAGAAAGTTTTACGTAGTTTTTAAATGTGCAAATTTTATTTTTTATTTCTATATCAATATTTAAATAAAATAAATTTAAAAAATTTAAAATTTCATTTCATTTGGCGTAATGCGACAAACATTTTGGAGTGGAGGGAATAATAATTTCCCTTTAACTTTCAAAAACCATTCCTTCCATGGTCAATGCCCCGTTTCCTCCGCGTCATCTAGGGCCCCTGATTCCTCGAAGATGGTCATACTTTCGTCCTTCTAGGTTTTTCTGATTCGCTTTATAATATTTGATTAAAGTTATTTTTAATTGTTTTTATATTAATTCAAGTCTATTGAGTTCTAACTTTGAGTCACTTGTCTTAAGCCCCGCTATTTTGGGTTGGAATTGGATGTTGGAGATATTGGAAGAATTAGAAAACACTGAAAGGAGTTAGATAAAATTGAAAGGATTTGGAAAATGTGGATAGAATTAAAATGTTAAAAAGTTTCTCAATTAAATGCTCATTAAAATAAATATGTTAGAAAACTCTAATATTGGATGAAAAAGAATTTATCCTCGTCCGTGTTTGAGGTGGTATTATTAATTTCGATATATAATGTTAATAACTTCAACTTATTTTACTTTATAAAATATTTTTTATCACTTTTTATTTTGTAAAATTCTCAGTATAATTTTTAATATGTATATTTTAGTAATTATTTTATACCATTTTTTAAATAAATTTATTTTAAAAAATATACTCCCTCCGTCCCTAAATAGATTACAATTTTTTTTTCTCTCTCTTCTCGATAACTTTTGTTTGTTTACGCAATTTCATCAAGTATCTGATAAAATAAAATATTCTTGTCACCTCTTGTTTTGTAAAACTTTTGACGTAGTTTTTTAATATGTAATTTTCATAACTTATTGATGTACCAATTTGTAAATAAAATGATTTCAAAAAGTAGAAAATTTTACTCCGTAACCCGCAATTTGTAATCAAATTGGGGACAGAAGGAATAGAATTTTGCCTCGTAAATGAAATTTGTAATCTAATTTGAAACGGATGGGAGAGTTCAAAAGAGTTTTTTTGGGGAAAAAATTGATGTGCTAAAATCATAGTTTAAAAAAACCGGATCAAACCGGGAACGGGCGAACCGGAGGTCAAACCGGTCCGGTCCAGCCCCAAAGACCGGCAAGTGCACCGAACCGGTGTGAACCGGGTAGAACAGGTCCGGTTCAACGGACGACAATTTTTTTTTTTTTTGCACAAATGTTTCAAAAATTGTTAGTAGGTGGGTTTCGAACACACAACCTATTGCCCGCTAGCTCACCTATCCACCATTTAGCCTACCATCCCTTCTGTTGCATGAAGACATTATTTGTTATATATTACATTTTTAAAAATAAACAAATATACATATTCTCAAAAGACTTTTTTTATGATTAAAAATTCTAAAAATATAATGTTGAAACTATGATTCAAACTCTAAAATATTGATGCAATGGATTCTAATATGAACTTCATATCATAAAACTATTAACACATTTAAATATTTTAAAAATATTGTGTAAATTATAAAATAAAAAATATAAGCTCTTATTTTATAATTTTTTATTTGTTTAAATAAATAACTATATATATATATATATATATATATATATATATATATATATATATATATTGAATTTTCAAATATGCGTGAACCATTGGTTCGACTACTTGAACCACCGGTCCGACCAGTGAACCAGTAAACCAGTATCTTGACCGGTTCGGTTCTGAAAACTATGGCTAAAATTACCCAAAAGCATTTTTTAGAATAAAAAGAAAGGTGAAATGGGGAATGTTTGTCATGCAATAACCCCGCCGCCGGTTGCCGCGCTGCCGATAGCAAGAAGTCACTACTGCAGACTTAACGCCGCCTTTCCAAAACGCCAAGTCGCAAATATCCACAAAATGGAAAGTGCGCCTAAATTCAAGGTATGAATATTTCCCCGCGAACTCCATTGCTTCATTTCCAGTGTGAAATTGAACCGATTGATTCTAGGGTTTCAGTAGTGTTTAAATCCATGTTCATCTGATTTGGGTTTCCACTGTGAAATTGAACCTTACAATGTAAATGTACTCTTAACTCTGGCATAAACTACCCTGAAAATAACATTTCTTGGTGCAGCTGATTCTAGGTTCATCTTCCATAGCTCGTCGAACTATTTTAACCGACAAGGGTTATGAATTCACAACCATGGTATGTTGTTTCTCTGCGTTTTCGTGGTTTTTATGCATGGATTTGTGCTATTCCTTTGCTAGATTGGTTGCTGTTGGTGATTTTAGTGTCATCAATTTATATTGTGTAATTGGATTTACTTTGATCGGACAAGAATTTAAATAGACGTTGTCAAACGAGTTAGGAGGCGCGGAGTGCGCGCTCGTTCAATGATATTATAAATTCACTGTAGGGGTCCGGGGGCGGCATCCCCCGGGTAGCGGGGTCCAAGGGGCAGAGCCCCTGGCCGGGCTTAAGAAAATCCTTAAGATTTTCGTGACCGGAGCCCTAAACGGTAAAGGACTCGTACATAATGGATAAACGTCGAAATTAAGCCTTCAACCGCAGGAGACCTTTCGTTCAAACTCGCACCTTTCTTCTTCTTGCGCGAACGTACGCGTACATCTACGCGAATGTTCATGTCCGATCACAAGGATTTTCGATTCTATAAAATAGAGTCTCGTGGTATGGGTTGAAATATACATTCTCGAGTGCTTGTTCTGAATTAACGTCTTATCCGATTGAAGTATTTCGTATACCCCGAAAT